TAGGGTCTGTCTTCTGGACTCTCGATTCTGATCCACTAGTCCGTGTGTCTGTTTTTCTGCCAATACCATACTGTTTTGATTATTGTCATTTTGCAGGATAATTTGCACATGGGTAGAGTGATGCCTCTGGTCTTGTTCTTTTTTTTTCAGGATGGCTTTAGCTATTCAAGGTCTTTTGTGCTTCCACACAAATCTGATGATTTTTTTGTTCTATTTCTTTAAGAAGTGCCATTGGGATTTGATGGGGATTGCATTAAATCTATATAATGCTTTAGGTAATAAGGTCATTTTAACTATGTTGATTCTTCCAATCCAAGAACACAGAATATCTTTCCACTTCTTTGTGTCTTCTTCAATTCCTTTTAATAATGTCTTACAGTTTTCAGTGTATAGGTCCTTCACATATTTCGTTAGGTTTTTTCCTAGGTATTTTATTCTTTTTGTTGCAATTGCAAAAGGAATTGTTTTTTCATTTCTTTACTGAAAACTCATTGTTAGAGTATAGGAACACTATGGATTTTTGAACATTGATTTTGTATCCTGAAACTTTACTGTATTTGTTTATTATTTCTGATACTTTTTTACTGGAGTATTTAGGGTTTTCTATATATAGAATCATGTCATCTGTAAAAAGTGACAATTTGACTTTTTCATTCCCTATTTGGATGCTTTTTGTTTCTTTCTCTTTCCCGACTGCTCTAGCTAGGACTTCCAATACTATATTGAATAATAGTGGTGATAGTGGACAGCCTTGTCTTGTTTATTTTTTAAATTCTTAAACCTGATAAATACCAGCTGTTTTAGCTCCACATCAGCATGAGCTGGCGCAAAAAAAAAAAAAAACCAAAAAACAAAAAACACCCTATTGTCTCTACATGTTGACGCTATTGATTCAGCACATCTCTAATGGTGCTTTTCTTAAAGTGGAAGTCATTTCTATCTGAACTTATTAAAAGCTATACTGTGTAAAGTCTGCCTCAGTACACTCCTACATTGTAAGAATATTTACAATGAACATATATTCGTGTATTACTTTGTAATTTTTTTAAAAATATGCTGTAAAATTTTTTGAGATGAGGCTAGCTACAAACAGTCAAATATAAAAACATAAAGTAGTAAAAAACAAATATGAAACACTATCTGCTTTTATTTCTCATTCTACCTAGGAACCACAAACAGACGCACGAGGTGCAAAGCCACAAAAGAAAGTTGTCTTCTCCACCCCATCTTTTGAAATTGTGAAAATTAAAGAACTCAAGTCAAGTGACAAATTAGGAAAAAAGAAAAAGGGATCATTTGCCTGGTATTAAGACTTGTGTGTTCATCGTTCTTCATCACGTTAATGCACAGCTAATTGACTGAAAACCGAGTTATTTAACAATTTGCTTGGCTGTCTGTAGATGATGAATATGAGTACTAAAGGAAAACAAAATATAAATAAGACCTCAGTGTTCTCTTTTAACCAAATGCGTCACAGACTTTTAAGCCTTTTATATTACCATAGGTACAAATATTTTTTTACTGACAGAATTTTAATCTGAATAAATTATTTCAACTAGATGCCCTCCAACTAGCAATATACAGTTGCGTTCAAAAAATGATGAGCAAATTAGTCCCTAGAACTTTTATTCAATTTCAATTTTCCTTCATTTTAAAAAATATCTGAACAGGCCATGCTTAGCATAAATATTAGAATTTGCAAAATAAAAGGCTGCTGTCAAGTCAGACTCCAGTATCTTTTTTTTAGTAGCATGTTGTTTTTTTAGAACAGCTTGTGATTGACCTATTCTGAATTATAATAAAAATAATAATGAATTTGTTGCTGCAGTCGGCGTGACATAGCATACCTAATCATTATTGAGCATTGTAAGCACTTGGGACAGAATGTTGCATCTGCTTTAATGTTGTACTTTGGATATTTTTCAAGTATGAAGAATATTTTGAGTAATATTTATCAATTGTCTTTTGAATTGATAAATTCTCATTCCTGATATAGTACAAATTATTGATATTTTTTTGTGATCCAGGCTATCGGATTATATCATACCTTACCAGAGGTTGTGATAATTAAACAAAATGCATTATTTAACTTTTAAAATATAATTTTTAATTTTGTTCAACATTTAAAATGTGGAGGTTGATTGCTGATTTAAATCAGGCAGAACAGCTTATAAATGGATCTCATCTTCTGCTAAAACATTCTCTTAAATGATAAAGAATATTGGAGTAAATGTGTATGATTCCCACTAGAATATATTTAACATTAACATGTACTCTTCAATATTAATGTATCATTTGATATCCAAAACTAGGATGCATAATCCCCTTGTTTTCAGAGCTTGTACTAGACATTGGTTGAATAGAAAACACGTATTTATAGCATGAGTCACACATATTCTCATTTGTGAAATTGAGAAGCAGTCCCTATTTTAATCAAATGCATATCAGATTCAGCCCACCCATAGTATGTGCGATAACAAAACTAAGGGAGATTTCAGGTAACAAGATGAAGGAAAAGGACAAAGGAAGGACAGACTCTTTACATTTAAGGGCAGCCACTTCTCATATTTCATTAGCTATGACCTTGTCTCATCATAATGCCTAGCCACAAGGGAGGCTGGGAAATGTACTCTTCTTCTGGGCGGTTATGTACCAAAATAAAATTCTATTGTTATAAAAGAAAGGGATAATTGCTATTAACGCATAACTAGCATCAGTTGCCAGAGATCATGTCTTCTATTGATTCTTTTAACGCATATCAAACAATATAACCATATCAGAAAATCCTTTTAAAAGTAAAATTATATATAATCTCGCCACTATAACAACTGCTTTCATTTGATTATACCTTTCTAATCTGTCAAATGTACACATATTTTCACGTGTTTGTAATCATAAGTAATATATAGATTTAAAATTTTCACTTAATACTGTATCTTAAACATAGTTTACTTAAAAATAATTTTTAATGGCCACATAATTATGCATTGGGTTGATGAGGCATAATTTACTTAACCATACCCATGTCATTGGATATTCCAGTGATTCTAATTTTTCACTGTTGTACATAATTAATGCTAGAGTGAACATCTTCATACATGTTTTTTTTTCTTTTGGCTATCTTTTATTTATTTTTAACTTAATTGCACTCTAATTAGAGAACATGATTTATATGATGCTGATTCTGAGAAATTTGTTGAGACTGGCTTTATAGACAAGTATAGGGTCAGTTTGGATAGATGTTTCTTGTACTCTTAAGGAAGAAAAGAAAGCATCCAATACAGGGGAAGAAAAATGTACACTCTCTGTAGGTGGATACAAGATTCTATACTTGTCCTTTTTTCAGCTTTGCACAGTGGCAGTATCATAGCCAGTGAGGTTTATCCACGGCACAATTATTGCTGATTGAAAACTTTTTCCTATACATGTTCTTTTGATCAAGCTTGTTAATTGTATTATATTTTCTAAATGCTACTAGTTTTTGGTCTGTGTGCTATCAGTTACTGAGAAGGGTATATGTTAAATTCTATGAGGGTGGACTTGTCAGTTTCTCATAATTCTGTCAATGTTTGCTTTATTTTATTAGAAGGTATCACTAGGTATACATATAATTTCAGAATCAGCATCTCTTCCTGGTGACTTGAATCTGTTATCTTTATGTAATTACTATCTTTATTCCTAAAAATGCATTTTGCCTTGAAGACTATTTTGTCCAATTTAAGCAGAGCTACTCTAGCTTTCTTCTGGTTAGCATCTGCCCGGCATATCCTTTTGCATCTTTTCTTATTTTCAACTTTTTTATATGTCAGAGATTGGCTAGATGCTCACTAATTCCATTTCCTCTCCCTGGGAACACAGGACTACATTTCCCAGCTCTTTTTGCAGTTACGTTGGGACCACCAGAGGAATGTGGACAGAAGTGATGTATGCCACTTCTAGGCTTGGCTCCTAAAATGTCATGCATGGTTTTCTATGTACTCTCTCCCCTGTTCACATGGCTTGAGGCAAAGAACTACCAGATGATAGAACTAGGATTGAAAGATCACAGATTCCTATGTGATGTGAGTAAGAAATAAAGTTTGTTTTGTTAAGCCCTGGTAATCTTAGAGATTGTTTGTTATAGCAGCTAACATTAATTACTCTGATATACCATGTCTTTGTATTTTTGTTTTTTGTTTTTAGTTTTTTGTTTTTGTTTTTTGCTTTTAGAACAATTAATTTTCAAGTCCAATATCGGTCAAGGAAATCACCAATTTCCATGTAACTCTTATTTAATATAAAATGATTTAGTACAAAGCTATTTCACAGCTGTCTTTAAATTAAACGTAGTCGAGAACATGCAGCATGGGGTTTGCTTTAGTATCTCCAAATCAAATACTCCTTTTGTTCAAGTATTAAAAATTATAAAAGTTATATCATGAAGTTTCAAGCTGGGTTTCATAATCTCAGATTTGAAATTGTGATTTTTTCACATGTAACTCCAATATTGAAATGTTAACATTCAGGATAGGGTTTGGCTGCAGAGCAGAGCATGAAACATAGATTATTTTTTAACCAACTTTTGATAATAGAAGAATCACCAGCTTAGCTATTAGTACATTTTTGTTAACAGTTTTTCTTGCAATAAGAAGCAGACTGGATCTTCCAGCAGCAAATATAGACCTTCAAAGAAAAGCCAACAATCCCATTTCTCAGGCAAAACATATTTACCAGGAAAGTACAGACTTTTCACATAAACCAACAGTTAATAAACATGTACATGATAAATTAGCCACGGTGAATTACGGGGAGGCAAGTCAGCTGGGCTGGGTCGGGGAGGACCGTAGGGTCGGGGTTTGCCGTTGTCCTTCCAATAACGCCCCCAGGACCTGCCGTGCAGGCGCCAACCCGCCGAACGGCGTCCCGCAGATGGGGCGGGGCTCCCCTGCCTGGACCAGTTCCGGAAGGTCAGGGCGACGCATCGCTTCGGTTTTCCGATCCTTGGCTTCATCATTTACAAAACGGGGAAAAGGCCCTCTTCCCTAGGGATTAATGTGATGCTCGTGAAAGAATCTGGTGAAAACCTAACACGTACGCCCCGTACGGCAAATGCAGCTGATGGACAAATTAACGCCTGGACATTCCGCCCTATCTGATCCACTTTGAGGATATCTTTCTTATAACTGGTGAATTTATACCATTCACACGTTATTATGATTTTAATTGTTGATATATGAAATTATCTTTACCATTTTATTTTGTTATTTGTCCTGCTTTTTTCTATGTCTTTTCTCCACTTTCCTGTTTTCTTTCAGATTGTTCTTTTGATTCCACACTTCCCCCTTTATTATTTTGGAAGTTATACACTCTATTTCTATTCTTAGTGATTACTCTTAAATTTTAATATGTGTACTTAAAGTCTAAATCAGAATAGCTCCACCCCCTAAAAAAAAAATCTATCCAAGGGCATTAGAATGCTAGTCACTATCCTCTTGTCTTAAAAGTTATTGTTATCCAATATTTTAGCACCATCTTGTTTTTAACCTCCAAATTAGACATTATTGTTGTTTTATAAATCTCAAACTTTCCTTCTGGGATCATTTTTCTTTATCCTGATGTACACTCTTAGAAGTGCCTTTAATGAGCGTCTTTCGGTGATAACTCTTTCAGTTTTGGGTTTTCTGAAAGTGTCTTCACTCTTATTCTTAAATACATAATTTAAGTAGATACCAAATTCTGCATTGACAGTGGTTTTCTCTCAGCAATCTGAAGTTATTGTTCCACTGTTGCTGCCAGTCTAGTTGTTCCTTTTAGATGATCTCTTTCTCTCTCTGGCAAATTTTAGGATTTTCTCTTCGTATTTTGTGTTCTTCAGTTATACCGAAGAAAGTTCATTTTCCCACATTCTCTCTTTCCTATCTTCCATTTTGTTTCACCTTACTGTCCTTCGTAAGTCTGTCTTTATGCAGAGGTCTCAGTTCCAATTTCCTACCTTCTCTGAGGCCAAGATCATGTCTCCCACATACATGAGATCACGAGGTCATTAAAACCCGAGACTTTAGGTTCCTGGGAGTGACGAATGTGCTCAGGGACATCAGTCACTTACAATGCTAATTTGTAGCTCCCTCATTATTTTTCACTCCTGAGGATTTTCCTTCTTTTACAAGCTCAACTATACCTTTTCAAAGATAGGAGTTTTTGTTTCGTTTTGTTTTGTTTTTGTATTTTAGCTAGGGTGTCTATGTTTTTGCAGTGGGATGGTTTTTCAGAATATTTAGTCTACCATTGTCTCACAAGTGAAAGTCCACATGGTCACCTCATTCTGTTGAATTATATCCTTAAGATAAAATCTTGAGAGTGGTACTACTTAACTTCATCAGAGATTTTTAAACACTTTATATGCATTGTCAGATTGCTTTCCAGCCATTCTCTTGTTGAGTGGTGAATACTACATTGATGTTGGTTTGTTCACTTCATGGAGGCAGAGTGGTATCATGGCGTATGGGCTTTGAATCAGCCAAATCTGACTCTCTCTCTCTCTTCCTATCCTATCTCTCTCCATCCCTCCACTGGTCGCATCTATAGGAATTAGAGAAATTCTTACCCTTAAGAGTTTCGATGTGGTTTGAGATGCAAGAGAATTAATAAAGAAGGTACCACTTGAGAAGGAGAGAATGAAGATACATGTAGAACTTCTGGCTAAAAATGCTGGCTTGAATATCTATCTTAGTCTCTGCTCCCCCTTCAAACCTCACTGAAATAACAGTAAAGAGATTTTTTAAGGCAGAAACCTTCATTGATAAAAAGAGATCAGAGAAAAGAGCAGCAAAATTTTGTCAGTTGGAAAATTTATGAGTGGTAGTTGACGCAGCAGATCTGAGAAAACAGTGTATTAAACTGGCCTCGAGGAAAGCTAAGAAGCAAGCCCATTCACACCATAGGTCCCCCAGAAGACTCAGGAGTTGACAACAGCAAAGAAATTACCTTTGGAAGTGAGGGGTGAAAAGGAAGGAATTGACTGAAAATCTGTTTAAGAAGTAATTAGAACACCAAGTCCTTTCCCCACTGTTATGAGTTGATTCGTGGCAGTCCTATCCTCTGGAAAAGATAAGTTGAAGCCCTAACCCCCAGAACCTCAGAATGTGACCTTATTTGGAAACAGAGTTGTTGCAGATGTAGTTAGTTAAGATGAGGTCATGCTGGAGCAGGGTGGGCCCCTAATCCAGTAGGACTGGTGTCTTTATAAGAAGACAGCTGTGTAAAGACAGAATCCGTTAAAAGAATTGAAATGGTTGCCTCTAAGGATCAGAATATAGGGAAAAGAGGAGCAGAGTCTAGTGGATTTGATAACAGTTATTGTAGAATTGTTTGACTTTTAAAACTCCATGCAAGTATGCATTTGATTTTAAAAACAAATTTTTTTTAAATACAAGAAAGCAGGAGAATTGTTGGGATGCATGTAGGAGCATGCTGGAACAAGTCATCCATAGCTCGTTCAAGCTGCTTGTTAAATTTCCAGGAATTTTGTGAGCCAGTTGTTAAATATGGCCATTACTAAAAATTAAATTGTATAAACTTACAATTAAGTAAGCTGTTATATTTAAAGCACAATTACTCAAAATTCATCACTTCCTAATCATTTTACCACATTTTACTATATTTTACATGATCTATGATCTTGATGTTTTTTGTATCTATTGTATCTGTCTGTTGTGATATGTTGGTAACTTGAAAACATATGTATTTCTTGTTTATTTCTTAAACTTTTTTAGTAAGTATAACTCATCTAAATAGAAAAACCGTATAAAGCAAATATAGAGTTTCATGAATATTATAAGGCAAGAGACCTTTGTAACTACCATCCATATAAGAAAAAGGACCGTGGCTGCCCACCCCAGCAGCTCTCCGTCTACTCCCTCTCTCCTAAGAGTAACCGTACCTCTGACTTTTATAGTAATCACTTCGGTACTTTATAGTTTCATCACCTAAGTATGCATCCATAAAGACTATGGTTTAATTTCATCCATGATTTTTATATGGCTTTTACCTCTTTTTAATCTGTAGGTTCCCTGTCTACCTCTTTTTTCCCCCTTTTTACAATTAGTGGACAAAACTGGATTGTTTTTCTGCAGCATCTCCCGTGATCTGGATTTTGCTGATTGAATCCCTCTGGGGTAGCTTAACATGTTTTTCCGGCCTCTATTTCCTGTAAATTGGTATGTGGATCTAGAGACTCATTCTTTATTATTAACAACAAAAACACGAATTCAGCAAATATATGTTGAACATTTATTGCATGCCTGAAGGGATGCTATAAGAATACAAAGTAATTTTTAAGGACTTTCATGATTTCAGGCAACTGACGGGATCTTCTTGAGGGACAAACTATTATAGTCCACTCTATAACATTAGCTTGGTCACCAGCTCAGAAGGCATCTCCAAAAGGGTTATGCCTTATGTGTGAAATATATATTAACTGACAAAGGGACTTCTGATAATAACGTAGAAATAGTGCAGCAATGCCTTCCTGAGGAAATTATTAATTGCATAACCACTTGTATAGAAACCTGTTTTTCAGGGCTGGTTTTAGTAATGGTACATTTACCAAGCACCACTGACAATGATTGCAAATTTTGTAGGGATGGTTTGTAGGAACTCAGCAATAAAGGATTTTTTTTAAAAAAAGAGGAGGAAGTTTTATTACATGTTTCTAAATAATCAG